ACCATTTAAGAAACTGTCCTTCACATAAGAAAACAGCAACTATCTGTAGGTTTTCAGATGGGATTTCTGGTGTGCTTATGGACGAGCCTAACAGAGCACTACCCGAGTTCATGCTGTGGAGTGCTGTCCAGCGAAGACCTTTTTATGAAGTCATTTGGATGTGCAACAACAGAAAAGCTGCTGAAGGATGCTTCAGGTAAGGGTCTTTGAAAATTTTCGTTACAAATTGTGCAGCCTAATAAATACATCCCAAAATGATGGATGAATCACTGCAAGACCTGGGAAAGTCTAAGACATGACTCTACCTGAGCTGCCAGAGAGGTATTGGCAGACGTGCATAATCACGGAGCTCTAGAAGCTGACTATTTTTGCTACATCTTACAGCCTTTACTGGTTTTAGGATCTTCCATCTTGGATGCATGAAGCCCCAGTAACATTTCAGACTTAGGGACAAGATTCTTCATTGCAGGACTTGTGGCCCAACACCCTGCTGACATTATGACACCACCTCATGGATTAAGTGACTTAATTGAGAATAAAGCATCTTGAACCCCACTAGGACATTGGAAATATTCAGCTGGACTTTTTGAGACAAAGTGTTTAAGATACACAGTAGAGAATGGGAACAATAAACATCATTATAAAAAACACTGGAGATCTGTAGAATGTGCGGCTCCTACAGCCCCCCGATGACAAGTAGCATCAGCTAGATATCACCAACAGCACATACATGGGTCATGTGCTCTTCTATCCTCTTTAATGGGTGATTTGCAGCAAGTCACCCAGTCATCTGCCATAGCCTGCCTGCACAGGTACACCTGACAAGGTGAAGCTTGTCTGCTCTGATATCCCAGTTCTCTGAGGCTCAGCTGAGGAGCTACTGTTGTGCACGGATACTTCCAGCTGGGACTCAGGCTTCCTGAACAGCCTGAGATGGGAAAGCATCTCATCTGCGTCTGATAGAAAAAGCCTCCCACAAGAGCAAAGCTGTACCTGATGGCACCACGCTTGGTCCATAAGCCGCCTTGTGTGGCTGAGATCCTTGAATACTAATACCTTAGGTCTCTCCTCACCCCTGTGACTGTCCATGTTTTGCTAAAAATGTAAGAGCTCACCAGGAAACAAACCCCAAACTCATCCACTGATACGCAGCGCTCCAGTCCTGTCCATCTGCGATATGTCCCCAGTCTGAGCCCACACATGTAAACACAGACTTCTTCCCTGAGACAACACACAGACTGGATCAGCCATGAGCATGTCTGTCTTTGACTCCACTCTTGAAATAAGGGAGAGAGGTGGGAGGGAAAAGTACACGGGCTTCTTAAGGATCTGGGAAGGCAAGTTGTTTCAGTTTCCCATATGGCGTATGGGAAGCAGCTGAGCAATGCGTCTCCTAACCAGGGGGCCTAAAGAAGCCCCTGATCCCAGAGGAAGGGGTGGGGAGGAGAAGTAATTCATCATCTTCACTATTTTTTTAAAGCTAGTACAACAGGGTAATTATGGACTTTCCTGAAGCAAGAAGGGTTTTCCTCCCAGACCAGCAGCAGCTGGAGGGCTCACTTTTTCCAGGTTTGAAGGAGGGCTCATGATTCTGCCCGTGCGATGGTTTTGATCACACCAGTCTTGTTTCATTTATTGGCTTAAAACTGGTGTGAAAGACCAAAGAGGCTGGGAGGAAGGGATCATTTGCCTAAGGGGGAAATGAGGAGGTGACAGCTGTAAGATGCAAAGAACATTTGTTTCTGGGCTCAGCACTTCAAAATATCTTCAGACTCAGCTCAAACTTTCCATGGCAGGCCTCTATTTCTTCATATATCGCAGAAAGATGTAGGTGGAAAGGGACCTCTGGAGATCTCTAGCCCAACCCCTTTGGTCACAGCAGAGCTGACTCCAAAGCTAGGTCAGGTCGCTCTGCTTAACCAGAAGTGTTAACTGGTTTTATTCACCCAGCACAGAGATCAGCTGCCTCCTCTCATGCTTGCCATCTGCAGCTCACCACTGCAGCCAGAGCTGTCCTCTTCAGGAGGCTGCGCCTGCACGCTCACCCAACGCGGAGCAGCTCGCATCCCGGCAGTGCTGCCCCAGCAGGCTCGGCACCCCCCGCCACAGCCACAGCCTTCAGGCGGAGAGCTCACTGCCCCGGCCGGTCCAGGACCCAGCCGTCAGGTGGTCCCTGCCGGGGAGCAAGGGGTCGCTCGCTTGTCTGAGCTAAGACAGGGACCCAGCTAAGACCTGGTAGGCAGCTCTACCTGCTCTTTGCACTGGCGTCTACATTTGCTTTTCTAAACCGCACAACAGGGCCGTCAGAAGCAGAAATTGTCAGTCTAGAGGGAAATGTAGCAGAGCCTGCAGGAGCATGACTGCACCACCTCCACAACTCTCTCAAAGCAAGCAGCCCCGGAGGAGAACGAGAAAGAAGGAAATCCCCGGTGCCACTCGGTTGGCAGGACCAGAGCTGCTAGGAGCAGATGCCATTGGAAGCAAGGGAGGGACAGTTGAGGGAGTTCTGCCCCCAGCTGATGAGGTTAACAGATGGTCACAGGAATTAAATGAAATGAGTAGAGAATTAGCACAGAGGCAAGAAAGGTGAACATGGCCCCTGAATGGTATCATTACTTCTGAGGAATCACTGGTGAAGATGGGCTTTGTTCTTACCTTGATGACACCAGCACGACACCATTGATCTCACTGTGGAAAAAGAATTAGACTGAATGATAAAAAGCACCTTCAGGTTTGGATGCAAATCAAGCACACAGGCAGGCTTGAGATGAAGTGCAATGCAGAACGCTGTACCGTCAACTTTTTCTGGAAATCTATGCAACTTCTTGCTGTGATCACCTTGTCAGCTAAAATACCACCAGATACAGCATGGATCTTTGCAGATCTAAGGCAAGGGAAGAAACTGTGCAATTTCCCATTATGTTATCTGTAGCCTTCACCTCAAGTCAGTGACGATGTCCTGCAGGTCACCGAGATGAAAAAATATCAAAGCAGATATTCTTCTATCTATTTTTGTATCTGTAGCTATATCATCTAACTATCCATAGACAAAACAAAGGTGTTCAATAAAACTGAGTAAGATGGAAGAACTAGTAGAAGCTGTGGAGTCAAGGGGTCCATAGAGAGAAGGGGAACCTGGCTGGCAGCCCTTTGTCACTTCCCTCTGTCCTGCAGTGTTTCCCTCAGAGGAAACGAGGGATGGCTGCTCACGTTGCTGGTGCTGGCCTAACAACCAGGTGCTGCCTCACTTCATTCTGGATGACCAGCTGGATAGAGCCAGAGGTACTGGTATTGCATCCACATAGAAAGCAGAGATGGAGTTCTCTCTTCACAACTACTCACTGGCAAGTGAATTCTTCACTACCCATAGTCATGCATTCTTCACTACCCATAGTCAGACACTGCTGCAGTGGTGGGGAAGAAGCGTGAAAACTGTAATCAGCCTCTGCAGAGATTGTATCATCCGCTAATAATTTATCTCCAGTACCGAACAATAAAAGGTGACTGGTCAGCAGAAAGTTTGGGGGAGGACTTGCTCCAATGTGAAAGCAGCTCAAACAGAGACTAGAACCCATCATTTCTTAAAGTGGAGCAATAGTAGGAATACAAAATTGCAAAAGCGCAGCTAAAAGATACATGCAGGTTGAAGCAGCGCGTTGATCACAGTGCCCAAGGCAGGCGGGAGCAGGGAGGTGTGTTGCAAGTCAATCCCAGGCAGCAGTTACCTGCTTTTGAAATGCTGTTGACGGGGGGAAGGCACCCTAACTGGCTGCGGCTCCAGCTGCCGAGGGAGCTCTGTGGGGTGGGACGGGGCTGCAGTGAACCCTGCTGAGGCTTACCCTGGGGGGCAGAGAGAGGGCAACGACTGTGCTGCAAAGGCCCCCGAACACAGAGCCCAGCCCACGGCTCCAGCTGGAGATAGGGATGTCCCAGGACCGGAGGGGCCTGCTTGAACCAGGCCCATCCCTGCTGGAGGAGAAGGGCCCAAATCCCCTCCCTGACACCGAGCTGGGAAGGAGGGAAGGGGCCGGGACAGGAGCACCAGGGCTGTGGTGGCCCTTGGGCTGAGATGGGTGCAGACCCAGCAAAGGCTCCACCAGCAAATGGGTGCTGGGGGAGCGGTGTACCCACACCCTGCAGTGCAATGAGATCCCACCAGGGATCATTCGCAGGTGGGAAGGGGCTTGGCAGTAGCTGTCCCGCTTGCACCATTCTTGTGTCCCTCTGTGCCCCGGGGAAAGTCCTGCAGCCAAATGCAGACATTCAGAGAAAATGACAATTGACACTTTGCCCCTCCGGAGACAAGCAACTGTTTGCGCTTCCGGTATTTATCTGTTGCTGCAGTTGACAAGGACAACGCCACTGATGCTCAGACAAAAATTGGTATTATTTACAGCTTCCGGTCTCGGTGACTTATTGCGTGATTGCCAAAGTACGGGTTTAAAAAGGAAGAAACGCTAACAGCAACTTTAAAAGTCTGCAAAGATAAAAAGACGAATGCTTGACAGATCTCTCCCAGGCAGCTGGTGGGGCAAAGAACTGAAGCTCTTGCCTCTTAAAACGCTTCCCTGTTGCTGCGACCAGTACTGCGTGGGTTGTGCCTGAGGCCAGCCAGGGCAGGGCAGCCACAGAGCAGCACGTGGCCGTGTCCAGCCACCACAGCCTGGGCTCCCTTTCTGATCCTGCCGTGCAGTGCCGAAGCCTGGCGGCGGTTTCGAGAGCTTCACGATAGCCCCAGAGCTATCACGATAGCCCCCAGTCCTGTTTGTGCCGCGCTCTCGCTGCAACTGTCCAGCAGATGGAGCCACGCAAGAGGGCGGGAGCAGCCCCGCACACGCTGGGGCCATTCGAATAATTAACACAGGTCTTTTGACTAATTTAGGGTTCCCCTTTCCACCCGCTGCTGGTCAAGCCACCCCATCTTTCTGCAAATCAACTTGTACCGATCCAATCAGAACATAACCCAAGACGTAACAGACACAACCGTCCACACAAGCTGCTTGAAATATTTTTAAACGCTTTTATTTACAGTGCTAGTTGAAAACAATATATATTTATATCTATCATCCTCGTGATATCTGTGCCATAGAAAATGCTGTGGCTGTATTGCCTTTAATTTACAAAAAATGGTCACAAGAAAATCTGAAGGGAAAAAATGGAAATCAAAGTTTGGTCCCCAATTGTTTCTCTCTTGATTTGTTTTAAAAAAGCCTCCAAATTAAAAAAACATGCAGTTCAGATGAAATTCATATATAAAAACAACCCTTATCTTCTGAAAAATTCACGAGGGCCAGCTTGCTGTCATGTAAACTTGGAAAAAAAAAAAAGCTTAAAATAAATTCTGTCTCCATGTGCGGTTTAATAGAACCGTTATTTGCTTGTAATATTCTTTTTCTTTGTCTCTCGGGGTTCAACGGGAAAGCAGACGAGAGGAGGCCTAGGACTGGAAAATGCACCATGAGATCTGTGCCCGCAGCCTCCTGGACTCAGGGAGGATATCTGACAGCAGGTCTGGGGAGCAGAAGCTGTCAAGAATCTCAGTCCTACTAGTGACAAAAAAAGGAGGGCAAGTGACAATGGAAAGAGAGGTGCTTGCCACGCGAAAAGCCTGGCACACGGGCCTGGCAAAGTTAGGTACTAGGCCCCAGGAAACAATGAGATTCTTGGGGGGAAGAGGATCATTTGTGAATGGGGCACGGGGGACTGGAATAATTTCAGCTGGGGAATGTCACAGATGGGCTAGATCTTCGGGTGAGAAGGAAACTTCTGTCTTCCCTGTTTGAGAGCATTTCTAATCTTCCCTCATCTGAGATTGTGTGAAGCCAGAGGCTAATGGGCAGTGCAAGCACAGGCTGGAATGGAGGAGGAGAGATGGACGGAACAGAGGAGATGGGAGGGGAGGACTCAAGCTGAAGACCCGTTTTCTGTCTTCTGTCTCTTTGGATCCACTTCATCCTACATAGGACACAGGGAGGAAAAAAAAGCAGTTACCGTCAAACAGTCACCATAGCAAGGCACACCATTTCTCCACAAAATTCTTACTGCTGCTCTTTCCTCCATACGGAAATCTCCATTTGGCCTACCCTAAATCCACTCCTCTTTAAAGGACCTTTGAGCGCCCGACAACTGTTCTGTTGACGGTCACGGTTAAGACGTGGACAGCTCCATTTGGAGGGATATCCGTGCTGTTACTTTCGGAGGTGTAATAAGACCAGGCTCACACCACTTCAGACAGACCTTGAGATCCGCCCTTACAAGTCCATCTTCTGGCTTGAAGCCCAGAAGTCACAGGTGTGTGAGGGGTCATCATCACCCAGCACAATCTCAAGCACCTTGACTCTCAAACACTCAGCACCATGACCACTAGTGGAAGGACCTGGATCCCACAAGGAGTCTACAGAGGTTTATTATCCCCTTACCACATCAGATTTGTTTACTCATCTGCTGCTGAAGCAGCAATGAGGCCCAAGGCCAATTTGAGATGCTCAGCAAGGGCATCCACGCGGATTTGATCGGCACATAGCAAGTAACCTAGTTCCTTCTCACTGCCATTACTCTCACACTATCACTCACCTCTTCCTCCTCTGCAGATCGTTTTTCCGCATGACCATCCTGTTCTTGCCCATTCTCGTCCCCTTCTAAGCACAGGAGAGGAAATCACAGGTTAATTGAAGCAGCATTTAAGGGAATGTAATCTGACAGTCAGAGGGCTCAGAGGAAGAATTTCCCTCCAGGATCTTCTATTCCCCCCCAGCCTGATTCCTCCCATTCTCCCTCTACCAATTATTCCTACCGTCATCCTCATCACCACCTTCTTCTTCATCCACGTCATCAGGATTCTCTTCCTCATCCTCTTCAGCTCCATTTTCCTCATCCTGAGTGAAACAAATTGGTCAGAGCAGAAATTGGCATCAGGATGACATTCTCATGTGCTCTTCGCTGCAAGTGCAAGAACAATCTCCACAGCTCCAGCCACTTCAGACTCCAGTGTCAGATGTGCATCAAGCGAGTGACCTCTGCACTGTTACCCAGACACCATCATTCCCACCATCCAGCTGAAACCCTCCTCCCAACCAGCCTTCTTTCCAAAACCCATCCTTGCAGTCCCTCCGCACGAATATGAACCCCCTTGACTTCCACAAGCTTACATCCCAGCAAGGTGCTGCCATCCCATCCCAACAATCAGAACAGAACATCTCTCTGGTTACAGGCTAATGACTTAGTCTATGCTCGTAGTACATCTGCTTCCAGATCCCTTCTGACCTTCATCAATCTGTGCATTTCCTCCCTGTTCCTCCCCCCACCTTCTTCAACTTACACTCCTTATGCACCTCAGGATACTTCAGTAGGTGCAGAAGCACATCTCCTGTGCCACCTTCCTCCTAACTCCTACTTGCCCTTATCTCTGTTCCCTTCTTTGACCTTTTTTCCTTCTCACTGGGCCGTGCTGACTATGCTAAGTCTTTCAAGGCTCATTCTCCACAATTATCCTATAGCTCGCTCTTCATTTGCCCCTCTCCCTTATCAGCTCCCCTGGCCTGTCCTCTTTCTTCCCGTATTCTCTTCATATTCATTACCCGCAGCAAGCCAGGCTAACCACCCCTTATAAAACCCTCCCCGATGCCGCTAAATCTATCCCCCAGAAGGGCCTCACCTCTACCATCTCCTTCTTCTTTTCTTTGTGGACTGTTTTCTCCTCAAGTTTTTCCTTCTTTTCCTTCATTTCCTATACGCGAGATGAGAAAAACCATTCCGGTGGTCAGCGGCAAGAAAATAAAAGATGCTTAAACAAAGAGGGCTTAAAGGAGATGCGGGATAACGGTTGAAGGAAAGAAAACCTATCAGGCGTTAAATCTGCCCTCCCTGACAAAGAAAAAGCAGCAAAAACGCGTCAGAGCTACTTTTAGACAACACACATGTGGAAACCAGAAGTACGGAAGAGTTTAATGTGGTTTGGTTTTTTTTGG